TCGTATTACTATTAATGTCTTCGCAACACTCACATTACAAGGATAATGTTATTAACAATTAATAATAAGGGTACTCATTTAAAAGCGCAAAACTCTCGCAAACTGGGCAAACTGTGCAATTTAAAACCCTCGCAAATGAAATGTCAAAATTTGTATTGAAAGCTATTTGCACAAAAAGGGCAAGTTTGCGCGGAAATTTTGTCGCGCAAATTTGCGCAGTGTGATGTGCAACCCTCAATTAACTATTTTGTTTACTTTCATTTTGAATTGTGCTTAACGCTTTTTCGTAAGACTTAAATATTTTCTTAAATTCGAGTTTCAATTGTTCAACTTTTTAAATTAACATCGTCAAATAATTTAATGTCTGAAATTGCACAGAATATAAAATTGTCCTCATGAAACACACTGCGCAAAGTTGCCTAATTGCCCAAATATAAAACTTGCGCGAATCGATGAGTACCCTTAATAAATTGGGCTTTAAGAGCAGAAATGTGTAATATAGTTAGGATTGCATGTGGTGGAATTTGAACCCGCGACTTCGGTGTTTTAAGACAACACCTCAATCTCTACGTGTTGTTACACAATATGTTAGTGTGTTTGACCGAGATTCTCCTCCGATTTGTAAAGTGCGCCTTAAGTTCTGAATACATTAAAAACGACGAGCTACGGGCCACAGCTTCCAATTTGTTATCTTCATTGTCTAAACGCTTTGTCGATAGCGAAATGATTTTTTTGAATGCGTCGGCGACATCATGAATTTGTACGAGTTTGACATAAAAGAAGAGGAAGAACCTAATCTGTCGCTGGAAAAATAGAAATAGATCTAATCTGGCCACAACCACAGTCGTCGCGTAGCCCGGTCGGTGCCAAAATAATTATTTACATAAGAGTACGTGTTAAAATAATTTGACAGCTATGGTCCATAGCTCGTCGTTTTCATTGTGTTCGGGCTATTAATGTTGTGGCACAAAAGGGGTCCCTACAGTTTTATGTCGATTTTGAACGGCGATTTTGTTTTACTGGGAAGCTGTTTTTCATTTCCAAGTTTTGCGCACTTCTAATCATTACACCACAGCGGCCTATATACGAGACCTATATTCATATACATTTTTTGGATTTTGGTATCGATATTTGGAATATCGAGTCTTTTTATTCCGTTATTAATGGGTACCCGATATTTTTAAAGCGATACTTTAAATGAGTACCATATCGATACTTTCTGTTCGATATCGTGTCCCTACGCACAACGTCGATGTTTTCTGGAGTACAAACCGATGTTAGACGGCTTTCTTGTTGTTCATCGGTGAACGAAGTACAACCACGCTTTGACGCATTAAACCAATTAAAAACACTGTCACTTGGCGGTCTTTCATCAAAGAAAGTCAAAGCAAGTTGATCGATGCGAATCGTTTAATTGAAACTATTATAATATTAAGGTTAATCACAGTCTTGTGCAATTGTAAATTTACAACAATAAAATACAAACGATAAAATTTGCAAATGCACCGAAATATGCAAATGCAAAAACATACATATGCACCGAATTGTGATTATCCTTAATCATTTTCTTGTCTACTTGAAACTTTGACCCTCGCACCGGTGCTAAAGCTCCTGGCCAGCATAAAATATTTTCAACGACGTTAACTATTTAATTGTAATCGTTTTTATTGCGATGGTTGAATATTTCCACCCAGCGATTCGCATGCGAAATATCAACGCCATTTGAGTGCGTGATTTTGTCGCTAGTACTGTGGGTCTGAACATACATATTTGATATTTGTATGAAAATTTCTCTCATTTTCATTGACATTGAGTTCACTCAACTTGTTTATGACCTCTTCGTCATCATTCCATATTGGGATTTCTTTCAAAATTTGTCCATGCAAAGAGTTAACAATACGTATTTTGAAAACAATAAACAGTATGTAATTTCCAATTAGAAAAAGAATAGTTAAGTATACATAAATACAGAAAGTATGTGTGTATTAAGGCGCATCATCACAAAAATGCAGGTTTCTCCAATATATTTTGGGAAAATATTAAGATTTACGGGAACTAGAACGATTTGAAAATACCTCCAAAAATCACATTATTTTGATTCCGTTGATAAAATTTTTGAACATGTTTATGCAGACCTTTTACGATTAAACTTTTCTATCATCTGAGGTGATTTTTAGAAAAAATATTTTTAAAAGCTACTTTTATTTATCAGAAACTCGATTTTTGGAGTAAGTTTTCACGTAAATCTTAATATTTTTTCGAAATACATATTTTGGCAGAAGTCTTAAAATATAATAAATTCTATAATTCCGACGGAAAAACAGTACCGTATGAGGAATGATACACCCTAATGTTCATATATGTTATAAATATATTTTCATACATACTGAGTATTTTTAAGTATTTATTAAGTCACTTCATATCTCATTTGCTTAAATGTCCGGTTAATTGTAACCGAATGCATCTGTATATCGTTCAGTCGTCATAAACTAAAGACACAACCGTTTATCTTTCGCTGATGGAGTTGAACGAATAACCGGCGTAACATTTAAGCACAAGAGCTGTGAAGTGACTTATTTCACTTTCAACATAACCGGCTCATATGTAGCTAGTTTTGTATCTGCACATCAAACGCCCTACCCGAAGGCTCTTGTACCGGACACATTACTAAACTTATAATGGAAATGTTTTTTTTGTGGTCCTCGGCGATCAATTTTAAATCCCTTCCAAAAAATTCGATATAGAACAATTTATTTTTACCCTATTAAAAAATTATAAAATATATTAAACAAAAACAACAAAAAGTCACACGCTACAATTCATTGGAAAGATTCGGCATAGAGTTTGCTATACTTTTATTACTGCATATTTGATTCCAATAGCTACATATGTGTGAGTCTATGTATGCATTTATGTGATGTTTGTAATTATTTGTCTTGTATAATTGTTGCAAAAATATGTAAAAAATGTTCGCCTATTTTGCATAACTATTCATGCCCTCTGGGGCAGGTCGATGCACACGCCAGTGAGAAAAAAAGAAATACTGCATGCAATTGTTGCTCTGTTAAGTATTATCTCTTCTTCTTTGAATTATCTCGTGGATGTGAAATCATTTGCCTCTCCACAAACAAAATCTTCATATACAGGGTGTCTAATGGCGACAGGTCTTAAATACAGTGACTCAAACAATCGTTCACTTTCCAGTTATTTTATTGTTTTGCTTTTTTTTTAATATTGTTCATGCTATAACTTTATAACAAACGTCGTGAAATTTAACAAGTTTTAAGCTTTTTAATATCAGTTTATTAAGAAATTTTGGCATAATAGTGGTTTCTTCCATAAAGCAAGTGCTATTAATAAAATCTTAACTAGAACAACTTTGTTCTACGTCCAAAATAAAGCTATCCACGTAAACTTCAACATTTTAAACAGATATCTAGGGGTCGCTGCAAGAGTTTGAACATTTTTTTAAAATCGCAAAAATTCGGAAAAATTTTGGCTTGAAATCTGAAAAATTTGACATATTATTGAAACTTATTCATAAACTCGCTGGATTATTGCTGGCCAAAGTCTATTTTGTCGAATTTCTGATATAAAAAAGATAAATTTAGCGACCGCATTTTTTTTTAAATTTTTAAATTTTCGTGAATTGTTTTTGCCCATAATGTCGATATTTTAAGGACCATCGAACAACACTCTCTAACAAAAAACTCTATTAATAACAGAAAATAATTTTTAGTAAAAATTAAAGATTAAGTACTTTTTAGTTAATTAAGAATAATATATAGTACGAAGTAGTCATAGTGACTTCTGAGATACGAGGTTTTTCCAAAGTACCGTCGATATGTATGCATGTACGGGAGGTATTCAATAAGTACATCCAAGTTATAAGATCCACATTAGAAACTGATATTTTTGTACCACCAATCATAAAAAGACTTACACTCAAATGCTTATCATCTGTTAATTTGTTCAGTTTTGGCAGATGTTCGAAAGTAACTTGTGCTTTGTTTTCAACATGTAAGTTTTGTGTACTATAATGCAATTTCTTTGAACAAAAACAATAAGTGAAAGCAAAGTAAAGTCACAATATCCCGACGAGACCCGCTTTCTTTTCTGTGTGAATTGTCCCCTAAGAAGACCATAGCGGGTCTGCCGGCTAAAATTGCCACTGCAATAATTTTGTTAAATTCATAACGCATACCTATTACCTAGAAAATGGCAAATCAAACAAGGGAAAATATTTTGTCAATTTATGGACTGGTTCAAGACCCGTCATATCCTCGAAATTGAAGCATCAGTGATTCCCAATTTTTAAAAAGTGCTCAAACAAAAGATCTCAACAACTAACAAAAACAAATATTATCTACATAATTCATACTGTCGATCTTAATGTGCTCCATGAAGTTAATTGTGAATCTATGAATTCGTTTCTCTTCACTTATTTATCATACTTAGTGAAAACTGTTAATGTTAGCCATACAGAGCCAAAGGTTAAGTTGTTTTAACCCACCCTGCAACGAAAAAAATATGGCTTGCATACATACCTCACGCATTCCTACTTATGTATGTATATTGTACATATACAAGATATATTTGTAGGGCTTTCACGCTGTGGTATTGTTTTCGAAATGAGTTCAACACTTTTTATTTGCGGTTTAGCTTAGTTTAATTGATGTTTACGGTTTTGCTTTCGACGCCATCTCTACTAAAATGTGGTAACAGCAAGCGAAATGATAACAACAACAACAAATGAAATTACACACACGTCATTTACGCTGTTTTGTCCGTTGGTGTTAGCGTTAGCCCTACTGATGTTTTAATACAAATTAACTCATTCACTCTAATTTACACAATTTTACCAGATTCAATATCTGTTTCTTAATTAAGTTCTTAATTAATTCTTTTTTTTATACCTTAATGGCATACACAAATTGATGGTAGCTTATAATAGGCATATAAAATATAATAAGATGACTTCAACTGTTTTATTTTTTCAGTTTCCGCTATTGTTGAATACGATTATGTGGCCAAAGAACCCGATGAGCTGGACTTAGTCAAAGGTGCTCTTGTACATAATATTAAACAGATGCCGGGTGGCTGGTGGGAAGGCACGCTACAATCTACAGGGGAAACCGGCATGTTTCCTGATAATTTTGTGCGACTTATTGATAACAGCGATGAAAATATAGTCACAATGAGGTTTGTATTGTTCTGTCCGTTTTGAGTGCTGTACTTGCATATGTATGTATGTGATAAGAAAACAAAAAAAAAAAATTGGAAAGTTCTATTCGCTGTTACTGTTTAAAATTTTGATATGTAGTACATAGCCTTTTTAACTTTTAGTGTTGGAAATTTGTAATTTTCGAAAAAAAAAAGATTTTATAAATGCACCACACTCTTTTCTTATCACATGAAAACATGCTTGGTATACAACGGTTTTCTGATTTTCTCTAATCCGCAACATTCACTTTCAGGGACAAAGCAGCAACAGCCAATCGGCGCTGTAAAGTCATCTTCAGCTACACACAAGTGAATGACGACGAACTGTCGCTGGCCGTGGGTGATGTCATTGAATTCCTTGGGGAGGTTTGTATATATATTCACATACATATACAGCACAAAAACTAGAACATAATAGTCAGCAAGTCAGCCATAATGTAGCCACAAAAACTATTGCAAAATATTTACGTCACTTGGACATGATTTTAACTGCCCAGCAAACCTTTTTGTTTGATATCAATTTGAGGCTTATTTGATATTAAGTCACGATGTAGAGAACAAGGACGGCGCCCATCTCGTACCGCTATTCCGCTCTCAGTGAATTTGACACACTTGTGTAACTTGTTTACGTTTTTCTTGCAAAATTTCTTCTTGTTCTTGTATGCTTGCTGGTGTTTTGACATTTATTCTCAAAAATCCTCTTCGATGGGCGCAATCTTGTATTCTATCATCCTTGATATTAAATAGCTTGCTAAAATCTCCAACTTTAATTCTCAGCAGCAATGCAACAAGCGGATTATGGTGTTACAACTAAAGAGGTGCTTTTTAAAGTAAGATTTTTAGTTATGAAGTTGAAAAATTGTCAATTCTACACTTGACTTCAAAGAAATTTCTCCTTATTTAAATTTTCCCATTTTCCCTCAAAAATTAAAGGTTATGTTTCACCGCTACCGCTACATTGTTAATAATGTCTAAAATATTTCTTAACTTAAGGACAAAAGGTTTGAGTAAATGGTTAATCTCAAATGGTAAGGAATGTTGCAACTCAACTTGAGAATTAAGAGTTTATCAAACGTTGGAGAATACTTTTTCTTGTGTTTGTTGGGTGCATGCTCTAAATATTTGTGTTAGGGTGGAGAGCCTTAGTTAAACCCCTGCAGGGAAAGCTACTAGTTGTGAACTAGTATGCTACCAGTATTTTTATTTCTTTATGTTTTTGTCGTAATTTGTAAATAGTGTTATTTAAAAAAAAAATAATAATAAAATTTCGTTCAGTTTTTTTATGGTATTTGCGTATTTAGGTTGTTTACCAAATGAAATGAAATTTACAATCTTTGTTTTTATGTATTTAAATGGAAATAATTGACTTACTTTAATTGCCTCCAAGATAATTCGAACCTGAGATCTCAGAACCAAAATCGGTAGTCTTCACTCAAGGCCACAGCCGACAGTTTTGAGCAAAGCAAATTCAAAAAAGACAGATGTCGCTGATCGCTTAAGTTGTTCGAAATCGTCGAAATGAGAGGCCGTCGTCTTAGCGCATACTAATTTATGAACTGGTATGTTTACTAGCCGGTTTGGCATTGCACTGCTGACAACTGGTATAATTATAGTCCATGACGCACTGGTATGACTTCCCCATTGAAAATCAGTTTTCGACCTAGAATTTCTACCAAGTAGTTTAAGCTTTTTCTACGAGAAACTGGTATAATTATAGTTCACAACGAACTGGTACGACTTTCATCCTTAAATAATCGGTCATGAACGGGAATTTGTGCACAGTAGTTCAGCTATTCACTGCAGGGACTTTACTACAATTCTGGCTGTGGCTGGCTCATTTCACACACACACACACATACTTACAATTTTCCACGCTTTCTTATTCTTATGCTTTTCTTTATCAATACGCCATTTAGGTCGAGGAAGGCTGGTGGCGTGGACGTTTAAAAAACAAAATCGGCGTATTTCCATCGAATTTCGTTACTGTCATCGAGCCATCACCTATTTTGGCCAGTAAACGACCAGCAGCCGGTCCTGCTGCCACATCAACCGTAAAAGCAGCTGCGACAGCCGCAGCGCCAAGCGCAGCTGCATCAGCGCTTGAGAAGTCAAGCGTTGGCGACAGTAGCTCTACATCATCGACTAGCACAAACACCGTAACCGCCAGTTCAACATCAACGAAGAAAATGAATCGTATTAGTTTTCACAGTTCCAAAGAGGATCTGTTGAATAGCAGTAACATCAGCAGCAGCAGTGGCAGCAATTTCGTTGCGGCAACAAGCACAAACAACACATCTGTGGATGATGTTGCACCATCGTTGCCACCGAAACCGCAACGGGAATACTGTCGCGTCGAATATCCGTATACGCCACAAAACGACGATGAGCTGGAATTGAAAGTGGGGGAAATCATCACGATCATCAGCATGGAATTGCCGGATAAGGGCTGGTGGAAGGGCGAACTACACGGCAAAGTTGGTGTATTTCCAGACAACTTTGTCAAACTGTTAGACGGTATGTAGTCAAGAAATTTCTATAGCGTTTGCGTGATGAAAGTGTGCTATTTGGTATTCTTTTTACATATACGTAAATAAGTGTGTGTTTATTGTGATGCATTTCGCTGTATATTGAAAATCTAATTATGAGGTACTTTTCAGAGGAATGTGCAAGAACGTTTATCTAGGTATTAGTTCAGCGAAGGAAATGTTTAGATATCTGTACACATGATTCAATAATACAATAATTCGATAAACTGACAGTTGTCTCTCTCGCACCGCTCCTAACCTTGTATTATTGAATCATGATCTGTACATATGTATGTACATACGTACATAAATATAGCATCGATGGAAGTTAGGAAAACATTAAGCTCAGTCCTAAAAAAAAAATTTGACTAATTTGCATCTAATGTAAACGAAGAATATCCAACAAGAGAATTGAGGCCAACAAATGTATATTAATTAAATATAAAAAACAAAGTTTGGCGCGGTTTATATTTATGGTAAGAGAGAGGTTTTCATTGGAAAATTGTATCAAGCAATACATCAATTCTTTTCGTAGTAATATTCCTACTTATGCAGCTTTACTAGAAAGGGAAAGAGCTATGAATTTTTAGGACAAACGATTTCATTCACTTAATTGCTTCACAGTCTACTGAGCGCTGTAGTAGATATTTTTTTAATTGCTAAAAAGACTGTCAGACCTGCATATCTCTATGTCAATAGAATACTTATAGATTCGTTAAGTCAAGTCCAGTTGTTGACTTCACAAAAACAAGTTCTTCAACTGCTGGTACCGCGATACACCCTCAGATTTTTGCTCCAACCCCATCATGTTTTGCAGTGGATACAAATATTTTTTATGAGCATAACAAATTACGCGTTTTAGTTTTGCTTTACATGTTTAAAATATGTAATATTTCCCGGCCGGAAATTGAATTGAATTGCATGGAACAGTTCTGTAAAGCTCTCCTTTTTTCCTAGACCGAGTGTTATAGGAAACCCCATTGAGATGCTACATAGAAAAGTAAAGCTCGTTTATTGCAGCAACTATACACCGGGTCTAGAAAGCATTTGCATGTTTGAATGTGGACAAGACCCCTTTTTAGTATAACAATATTCTTCAAAACTAAATATGCTGTCATTGAAGAGTAAAGGACATCCCCAGGATACTTAAATCGTATATTTAAAATTTTAGGACGATTTTTACTACATTTAAGCTTTACTTGGCGTCATTACTTATAAGTAGAAGCTATTACAATACAAGAATGCATAGATTTTTTTAAACCGAAAAGTTTATTATTTTGTCTGTACGGATATTTTTTCATTATCAGCCACTTGAAATACCAGTATAGAAGCTACTATAAACAATGTAAAGACTCACAACTAAAACGATATAACAAACATTTTTATTTGCATTTGTAAACAATTTCGTATGTAAATGCTGACAATTCAAAATGTAAATGCACATTCTTCAATTATTAGCCAATCGACAAACACAACATACCTTTATTTTACTAACAAACGCACAGGTATGCACTTCCATATATGACAATATACTCGCATATCTGTGCAACTATATACCTATGTATGTAAGCCTCACACCTTCGTAAAATATCATCACATCATTCTTACAAACACATAAATTCACATGCAGCCATACATATTTACATTTTTACAAAACGCAAGATATGGCATTCATCTTATCCACTCGACGCACAGTAGTTTAAAGCAAGGAAAAGGTTCCAAAAAATAAATTTCACAGAACAAAATCATCAATAAAACTCTTGTAATAGAGTCGAATATGGCGGCGTGAGTATTTTACTTTGAGTTTCATGCTTAAGTCTAGGTATTACGGTCACTTAATTTAAGGAACTTCACCGATATGGGGTGCTTTTGTATTTTTGGATTTGTAAAGTAGATTGGCTGCAATGCATTTTTATGTCGGGACTTTTCGAAATGTTTTCTAACCACTAGAATTTTTTTGAGAAAACTATATGCAAAAGTAGGCAGAATAATCAAAGACCTAACAAAAAATCAAAGTATTTGAAGGTCCTATAAACGAGATTAAGCAAGATTAGATCGCCGTTCGTTAGATCGCCACAGGGAACCATCAGCACTACGCAGGACGCAGTGGATGAAGCAATAGACATGGCTATCTTCTTCTTCTTCCTTTTTGGCGCTGTAACCGCCTAAGAGATTTTGGCCGAGTTCAGCAAAGCACGCCAGTCGTTTCTCCTCTGTGCCAACTGACGCCAATTGGAAACGCCAAGTGAAGCCAAGTCCTTCTCCACCTGATCTTTCTATCGCAGTAGGGGCCTCCCTCTTCCTGTGCTACCACCAGCGGGTTCCGAGTTGAATACTTTCAGAGCTGTAGCGTCGGTGTCCATTCGAACGACATGGCCAAGTCAGCGGAGCCGCTGTATTTTAATTCGCTGCACTATGTCCATGTCGTTTTAAAGCTCATACACCTTATCGTTCCATCGTCTGCGGTACTCGCCGTCGCCAACGCGTAAAGATTTACGGGCCATCTTCCGCAAAATATTTCTCTCAAACACTCCAAGAGCCGCCTCATCGCACGATTGAGAGAATACAAAGGTTGCGCCGATCTCGGACCGCTATTCCTCTCTTAACGAATTTGACGGAATAGTTGTTTGCATGACGTCACACTGGTGCAACTTGTTTACGTTTTCCTTGCAACATTTTTTCTTCTTCTTCCATTCTTGCTCACGTTTTGGCATTTCTCTCTCGCAATTGCACCAGTGTGACGTCACACAAAAGTTATTCTCAAAAATCCTCTCTGATCGGCGCAATCTTGTATTCTATCATTCTTGGCCTCATCGGACATGCCTATCAGAGCTGAGTAAATCAGCATTGAGCGGAGTTATCGCTCTTCTAAATAAATATTCGTCACTTAGTTTGCACTCAGAGTAAAAAACTGAAGATTTAGAAGGAGAACAGCGCACATCAACCTTATTCCTCTTAACAGCTCTACAGTATAAACCAGCTCTACAGCGCTAAACAGCTTTATAGAACTAATCAACTCTAGCGCTAACATCTTACTGAGCTCACTCATTAAAATGAGGGTCTATTCGCGAAAATTCACTGAGTTACCCGGCCCTAATCGTAACACAGCGCTTCGCAAAGCTAATGGATGCCTTCTAATGTCTCTAGAATATCATCTAATAGTGAGCCTTAAATGCTCTCAGTAAGGGAAGCAGTTCCTAGTTGGTTGCAACTGTCGCGAGCACTTGAACAAGCACTTGCTAGCAGCTTCTACTTAGCGCATCAGAAGGCATCTCCAGGAAATGAAAGACGAGATCCAACGCTACGTTTAATAACCGCTGTACATTACGCTCTATAGACAGGCAATCAACGACATTCACAGAAATGCCAACACCACCACCAACTGTTGTTCCGTAAATGCCGTCATTTGAATTTAACCACAACTAATTGCAAAGGAAGAGCTTCCGCTGCCTCTAGAGACCAGGTTATTCTGGCATACCGGATTCTGTAGCTACCTAAACTCCTACTTTTACGGACTCGTTCACGCCTACCGTTAATTGAGCTTTACCACAACGATTTAAAGACTAGGTAATCTAGGCAGGGTTGGCATAAAATTGGAATACAATTTTGAAGAGATTGCGGGAGAGGTGACATAGTAAACCAAGTTGTAAAAATATAGGCCTCCGCAGGGATGAAGCTACTGTGCGACATCTGAGTTGGTTTTGTTTTTATTGAAAGACATAGCGTGATGCATTTTTAAACATAAATGCAAATGATGTTTGCGTAAGCGCACTCATAAAATTAAATTTCAAGGATGCACTTATTGAGATTTTGTAGTGTGAAATTTATTTCAATATTTTTTTTTTGTATTAATGTATTCGTCAAATCGTTGACTTGAAAATACATAATTCATGAGTCCACCGTAGGCACATCGCCAAGCAAATACATACAGTGACTCAAACAAATAACTTTGTGTGGATTTTTTTTTGTAAATATCCGTAATGTTTTTCAGGATATTTTTTTTTTGTTATTTTTTTTTTATAAAAACACCGTCCAAGCTTTAACCAAAACCATTTAAATCACAGTTTCAAACTTTATAAAAAATTTGGAAAAATTCAAGAAGTTTTGGTCAAAATTTCCACTTTTTAATCTGAATCTTTAGAAACTTTTTGGGTATGCAGTTTTACAGCCCATTCAATTTAACTCTAATGAAGTGCAAATTTCAAAACTAAAAATCCCGTTGATTTTTGAGCATTTTTTTGGTGACGGATTTTTGCACTTTTTTGAATATAATCAAGAATTTCTTATTAAATAAAGTCAACGTCAGTTTTTGTAAATTGCACTTGTTATATAAAAAAACGTCAAAAGCAGTATCAAAAAAGAAACAAGATTCTCAAAAATCAGCGCGATTTTTTAGCCAATTGAAACTTGCACTTCATTGGACTAAAATTGTATGGGCTATAAAACTGCATACCCAAATTGTTCTAAAGATTTACAGGCATGTTCCGAAATTCGAAAATTTGAAATCACTCGATTTCGATAATTTCTTCGATGGTTTTTAACCTAAAAAATTACAAGTCTCGCATTAAAATGATTGTTTTCATATCGCTGCTGCTTCTTTTACAGTTTTCAGTGAGAATATTCACTCCTTTCATCAGATATACTTAAAAAATATTTGGCAAATCGACTCGATTTCAAAGTTTCGAATTTCAGAACATGCCTGTTAGATTGAAAAAGTTGAAATTTTGATGGAAATTTGTTGACTTTTCTTAAATTTTGTATAAAATTTGAAACTGTGATTTATATGGTTTTGGTTAAAGATTGGACGGTATTTTTTATATAAAAATAATATAAAAAGTTTAGCCCGAAAAATATTACGAATATTAAAAAAACACCACGTGGTCATTTGTTTGAGTCACTGTATATTCTTACATACTAACTTACGTACATATATTGGTAAATATTTGTAAAAGTACTCAATCATATAAAATTTTACCTTTACCTATGCAC